ATTCAAAGCGAGAAATAATTATTGATTCATCAATACAAAGAAAAGTCATGCTTGTTGTCTTTAGCCACCCAAAGCTTCTTTAATGAACTGCATGTACAAGCTCCTAGCAACCTGCCTGCACCCACAAGACCTATGTGTCATTGGCAGCAAGGCATCAGAGACATAGGTCTACTCTACATGGTATGAATGTGGTGAAACATAAAGGTTTTAGAGGAGGCAAGGTGCCCTTAGTGTTATTCTGTGACGTACAAGTTGTGTTAAGCAGTGCAGTTCTGATGCGCTCTTGATAAGATATGATTGCCTTGCCTAACCTCCACAGAGGTTGATGTTTACAACAAATATGGGAGAGTTATTCTTGACTCAGATCAGATAATGACGACTTTGTGAGATCTTCATAGTATATCAAAATTCATAACGAATGTGTAAATGTCTCTGTTTCGGTGCTTGCATCTTCTGTGAACATCTGAAAGCTGGTGATGCGGCTACTGCATCTCAAAGATGCTCTGAGTGTTTGTGGAGCCAGTACATCCTTTAGTAAGATGTGGCACTGTTGAATAAATCATATTTTTTTTGTCTGAAGGATTTTAATCTGATCTGTAAATCCATATTTACTCCTGGTGTTTTTTACGATATTTTCCAATTTACTGAAAGGATTTGTTTGGACTTCTTTTCTTTTTTTCTTTTTTATAAAAGGATATTTTTATGCCAATGGGGTTGTTTTGTCATTTATGTGAAAGGGATTGTATTTAAAACAAAATAAGCTACTTTTTCACAATGTTATTGTAGTCATAGGTGACGAGCAGCAGCATGTTGCTGTTGTGTGTTGTCGATTACTACTCTAAAGTTTCATTGCACTTGAAGAGCCGTTGAGTGACAAAAGATCTTGTTGCATGAAGGAGGCTTGACAAGAACAAATATCTTGACACTATTGTCTTATATATTTAATGCTTACACACCTGAAGAAATCACTTGTCATTTGGACAGACAGTGAATGAATAGTTGTTGGTTGTGTATAAAGCCACAATAACTCGATGCGCCTAGTGGCAGCAAGAGTTGTATACTCCCCAGGTAGTTGAGATTGCTAATACGATGTGCAGTTGATATTGACATCCAATGATCGAGGGAAAATATACCAGCGCTATATAAGTATCCTATAATAATATATCCCCAAGTATTATTTTAAGGGGTTGATTGTTCCCTATGACGAGATGTAATTAGTGCAAGTTTTGAAAATGAAATGTTAGAGACAGCTTTGCAGTATCAATATAGACCATAGTTGACAAATAGATTTAAACTTTATATATTTTCAATGGATTTGGGATTTGGGACAAATACTGATACAGTTTTTAGGCAAACACCACTATTTGAGATTTTGACCGGACTCAAATGTTTTTCTTCCATTGAAAATCTGTGATACTTTTGAATGCAACACCATACAACATGCAGTCTGTTCAGTCATTAACTGTACAATTCACCACTTTGACATGGCTAAAGTTCACCTTACTGTACGGAACAGCCCCGGAGGGCACCGATTCCCAGCAACCTTTGCTGGTGGTGAGAGGGTGTAAAACCGATCGGGTGGATAGGATTGTGACTGGGTTGATAACATGCCATTGTATACCGATGATGTGAATCATTGCTCATAATATTGATCACTTGACTATGTGACGTACCGTTTTTTACAGACATATATAATATAGCTGAATGTAGAACATCAAAATTAACATGCAAATGAAACAATGATATAATGAAATGAGTGATCAGGCTTTTGTTTGCTCATGTTTACAATATCCTTCATTAGTGGGGTAGCCTAGTGGTTGAAGTGTTCACTCATCATGCCGAAGACCCGGGTTCAATTCCCTACATGGGTACAATGTGTGAAGCCTATTTCCGGTGTCCCCTGCAGTGATATTACTGGAATATTGCTAAAAACGGTGTAAAACTAAACTCACTCACTCCTTCATTAGTTGCAGCTCACCTGACCAAAATATGAGTGGTTAGTCTGTGCTTAAGCAGGTGATCAGTGAGTCAGAAATAGCCTTCCAACTTTGTACCATATGTATTATGGGATAGCTGTAGCTCACCTGACCATGGTTAAGTCCTTATTAGGATAGAAAGGAAATATATTTCAAGTCTTAGAAGAGATTTTTACATTTACTCGACTTTAGTGATTCTAATGAGATATTGGCTATCATATATATTGTCAACTTTTGATTGACTTTTGTGTCATGGTTCTCCTGCACCAAGTCTAATCTCAATAATTCAGCAGCCCAGTTAATTAACACATTATTAAACAATACTCCTTCGTTCAGCCACAGGCAGTAGACATCCTGAGCTCCGTATAGAAAGAGTTTGTGACAGTGTGATTGATCATATGATTGTATCATATCCCGACTCCAGATAGTCAGACATGTCATTCATCATTTTAGATAGGCTCATTGGGAACTGCACCTGGATTCTACAGGCGATCATTGTTGACCATGACATCAATCGTGTTCGTTAAAATACTCTGATCACTGATGCGTGCACACTTCATCCTCTTGTTGCCAGTAGGACCAGAATGCGGAACCATTCAATTCTCGGTACACAGCGAAGAAAGACTAAATTCTATCACTAAAAACTTCTTTCACATACAGCTTTAATTTTTAGAAGGGAAATATACCTTTAGTTGAAAGGTGTTTGCAAGTAATAGTGATAGTTTTATAACTTTAACAAAATTGTTAGGGTGTATTTGAGGTGTGTGAAAAATATGACATATCGCCGATCTGATCTGATCCGCCATTTATATTCTACAGGGCGTTGTTTGAGTGCTTCTAGTTATTGTTCTAAAACTTCTTTCACATGCACCTTTAATTTTTATGAAGGGAATATACCATCAGATGAAAGGTGTTTGCAGGTAAAAGTGATAGTTTTATAACTTTAAAAAAATTGTTAGGGTGTATTTGAGGTGTGTGAAAAATATGACATATTGCCGATCTGATCTGATCCGCCATTGAAATACTACAGGAGTGCTTCTAGTTATTGTTCTAAAATTCTTTTACAGTGTTTTTATAGTTCTATACCATCAGATGAAAGGTGTTTTCAGGTAATAGTGATAGTTTCATAATTTAAAAAAAATTGTTAGGACAATTTGAGGTGTGTGAAAAATGTGACATATTATCGCCTATCTGACAAAACTTGAAAGGTGTTTACAATGCTTTGTGATAGTTTTAAACTTTCTGTTTTTGAGGGGTGTGTGACAGTGTCAGTTAACATTCAATGTCCATGCCATTCCACACATGCACTAAGATATCTGAATTAATTACTAATGTAAAAATGTCTCAAAGTAGATTTTTTGTTAAAAAGGACAGCTGATGTTAACAGATGAGTTCTAGCGATAGTTTTGCATTCTTTAACATGTTTGGGGAGGGATGGCCGTGCTGTATCATTTATTCTTTCATTCATTCACATATGTATTTCTTTCTTTTGTTCTTTTCTTTATTTCATTCATTCACATATAATTCTTTCTCTTTTAATTAATTCATTCATTCAGTCATTTATTCTAAAATTCCGACTGATACAATAAACTGGCTGAAGTACTGTTAAACGCAGCCGAAGTTGCGCTGGGAACGAACCAAGTCACTGTGTGCGTTGGAACATGACGAGGCACACGCTAATTAGTACAAATGGTAAAGAAAGCAAGTGAGTGACCTATCCCTGTTGTAGAGTATCCCTGCTTTAACATTGCTGCAATGACTGAACTGTGAAAAGATTTGAAAAAAATGATAACCTGTAGTCTGGTTCTCTTGGGGTGGTGGGATAACCTCACACTATAAACCAGGTTCGATTTCCCACTTTGGTACAATGTGTGATGCCCATTTCTAGTGTCTCCTGTCATGTTATTTCTCGAATATTGCTCAAAGTGGTGTCAAACTAAAGTCACTCACTCTGGTTCTCTCAGCGATGTTGAAGAAATATTCCAGACAACATTTAATCTTTAATTCAGAGTATGTTTAAATGCTGCACATAAATTTAGATGTGACATAATGTGTGTGTGTTAACCAAGGAAGAATCCACTCTGTAAGGTATATATAGTCTGTGATTGGAACCTTTGATAATTGGATCCTGGCATATCAAAGGGAGGTTACTACAGCATGACTGTGGTTTCTATGGAACTTGGACTATAACTACTCTCATACACATCATCTTGTTGACTTTCAGAATAGCACTGGTCATTAGAGCTTCAGGAAATGTCTGTTTAGACTTTTGAATGGCTCCAGGTTAGAACTGTCTTGTAAGAAGACATTAACAGGATGAGATGGTCAGATTCATTGGCCTCCCTGATGTATGTCGTCAGATCTCAGTTGTGTAGATCAATGTTCATGTTGCCAATCATTGGATTGTCGGATCCAGACTCGATTGCTGTATTAGTTCTGAGTACACTCTGAAACAAACAAACTCAAAATGTCATGATTTATGTCTTGTCAGCCTAATTTTCTTGACCACAGAATGTTTTGTAAGACATCATAGTTATTAGTTATTTGTTCTGTGGGTAGTGAGTTTCCCTCCTGCTTTTGCAATGGAACGTATCAACATCACTTTGCTATTTCCAAATATACATGTATTCTTTGCTCACTCACACCATCCATCAATCAATCAATCAATCAATCAATCAATCAATCAATCAATCAATCAATCAATCAATCAATCAATCAATCAATCAATCAATCAACCAACCAACCAATCAATCAACCAATCAATCAATCACCCACTCCTATGCTGTAACAAAAGTTACAAGATTTTAGGCTTATGAGAGCTTTGTGAAACGGGGTCCAGGCAAGTAAGTTTTGAAGTACTGATCACAAGTAAAGGACACCTTTCTGTTGTCCCTAGCATGTTGGCTATCATGGACTTGATTATCTACACAGTTGTAAAGCTTGACAGTTGCTGACGGTGGATCCTTCTTCACCCAGTCTTGTGCTCCATCCTCTTGTTTGCTGCATCTACTCCTTCTGTTCCAGGCTGTATGGAGGCTGTACTCGGATGTCGTCAAGAAGTCTGGGAAGACCGTCATTGATGCATCAACTCCAGAGGTCAGTCAGCAGCTTCCGCTACTTCACAAAGTTTAGGTGACCCTCCATGTCAGTTTGAGGGATGGGTTTGTGTTGGTCAGCTACTTTCTGTGTCACACTAATTGCTTCACAAAAGAATCTTTTTAGTAGTACGCAACAGAAAACGTATTCTTATTTAACTCAGGGTTATTTGGATTCTAGTTATTCCTCTTTTATGATATAAACATATATTTGAAAACATATAAACATCAATTTACACAGTTGTCAGTTACACAATTTACATATTTTTCAAATTCAAAATTGTGTTTTTATACCTGTGATAATTAAATAGTTCATGTTTTGTAACATATGTGCAAAAACCCTGGGAAAGCATCTAACTTAACATCATTAAAAATGCATCACTGTCATACTTTTTATGGAACACTGTGCCGAAGCTATGAAAGCATTTACTTTTCAGTTTGAAAAACATTCATTTGCCGTGAAGAGTTATATTGTCTGAAAATTGAAAATGAATTTAACTGCTTTTTTTCCAGTTTTGACTGATTAATAGCTGGCATTTCAACTTTTTGCAAGCTGAACATTTTGATCTCTGTGCCATGAAAGTCAACAAAGATATTTTTTATTCCTTCAAGTAATGATCTCATTGGGAAATACCTGACATTGTGTATATTTTCATGTTGATGTATTTTTAAGTGTTTGAAAGGTTATCTGGATTGTCAGTTTCGTGATAAATTGGTCTGGTCCCTATTCTCAAAGCATTCGCAGCACCAGGCCATTCATAAGCCCATCAGAAAGGGTAGAGTTATGAAGCATCGTACCTCTACGAACGCTTTGTGGATCAGGACCTTGATTATTATTTAATAATTTATGAATTTATTAAATTCAGGAATTTAGTTCTTCCACATAAGTTTGGTCTGGTTTGGTTTTAACAAATTTCACTTCCCAAACTTTGTTTTGACATTGCTATCTTGCGGTACTCTTTTCAGGGCTCGATTTAGTGCTTTGTTACTTGCACTGGTGCAATCGAATATTGCAAAATGCAACCTAGTTATTAGTCTAACTTGCACCACGTCAATTTTTGATGGGGTAAACCTCTGAATAAAACACCTAAATAATTCAATAGCATATTTCTTTCATTACATATCACAATAAAAGCAGTGCAACTGGAATTTGGTCAGTGCAACTAGGCTTTCATCTCAGGTTGCACCTGGTGCAAGTAGATGAACATCTCTTAAATCGAGCCCTGCTTTTTGAAAAAGCTCTTCCTCTCAGAATATGATGTCGTTCTGTGTACAGCTCATTTCAATGGATTTGTTGACTCAAAGCCACTCAGTAACATGGAAAATATACTGTATATCCTAGGGTTAGCCATGTCTGTAAGGTTCCTGGGTTCAGTGATGGAGGGCATATACATGTATATCATCTTCCCAAGGAAAGTAAGTTAACTTTGTGCATGCATATGTGCCAAGATTTGTTTTCAAGAGCATTTGAATTCAATCTATATTTTCTCTTATTGATTATTGTTCCCCGACCTAGTCATACCAAAAGACGTTAAAATATGGTACTTGTTGGTCCCTGCCTGGCGCACGGCATTAATGGGTACAAGGACTGGTCGGCTCGGAGTCAGTATAATGTGTCTGAGTGGGGTATTCATCCTTAACTGCGGCATGGTATCTCTGTAGGCTAGTACTATAAAACCGGCTTAAGTCCGGGCTAGAACAAGCAGCCGCACATACACATACACATGCATGCACGTCGTCAGATGAGCGAAATGTTCTTTAGCACAACGTTAAACCCAATTTCACCTCACCTCACCTTATTGATTATTGCCAGATTTAACTGTTACAGATCACTGAACTGAAAGCTTTATGGGATAGCTGTAGCTCACCTGACCGCATCGTGAGTGAAGCAAGTGGTCAGGCTCTGGTCAAACTGGTGGTCATCAGGAAGGCGGACTTCACCTATGTCATCAATAGTCTGCTGAACATTGTACCATCAGCCAGGTAATCCATGCACAATCTGCTCAGTGAGTGAGTGAGTGAGTTTGGTTTAATTATGAGATATAACTATTGTGTTTTCAATTGCTGGGGTCCACCATAATGTCACATGGACACATGATAAGGAGGTTTTGATTGATCAGATATATATTTCATCTGCACATAAGATTTTTGTGTTTTTAAAAGTATATGAAAGGGGCAAGCAAGAATAATAACTATTGTCTATTTTTTTCAAAATCTCAAGCTAATTATTTCTTGAACCTATGACAAAACATTTCCAACCAAGACTCATTAACTAAGTATAAAGCTTTTATGCTTTTCAATGCTATTTGCTCCTTATACAAGTTGCTGTGGTATTAAAAGGTAATCACGTCATGATAATAACAGATAATGAGTTTAAAGTGTAAACACCCTGCTGTTACCAAAGAATCACCAAGGACAAATTGACGGTTGTGTTATACAGACTACAATTGCCTCATTATATGACTTTTTGCCCTATTACTGCAAAAGAACTGGCATCGACATTACTATAGAAGCATACAATATGATCAATGATGTCATACACTTCAATTGCTTTTATCAATATTTTTATTATAAGATGTAAATTTCATTGGATCTGAAAATAACAAAGTTCCAGACAATTATTTTCTTTTTGTATTGATTTTTTTTGTCTAATGTAGGAAAGAATTAAACGTTAAAATGTCAAGGTTTTCTTTAAAAACACCTTATTTGTGACAAAAATTAATTAAATTTATCGCAGCATTTAGGAAACCATTTTCTTCACTTTTGCAAAATCTAGGATATGTTTAGGAATTATCAAGGAAAGGATTTATACTTTAAAAATTCCTTATTGTCATCACAAGTACTATTTCAAGATTATGATTAATTTAGCTTTATCACTGATGCCTACTGATTATGTGGTGACTATATGTTGACCACATACCCGTGAAAGTCTAGGTTAGAATATTGATCTTCAGTAACCCATGCTTGTCGTAAGAGGATCGGGATCGTAACGGGATCGGGTGGTCAGGCTCGCTGACTTGGCTGACACGTCATCGGTTCCCAATTGCACAGATCAATGCTCATGCTGTTGATCACTGGATTGTCTGGTCCAGACTCGGATTATTTACAGACCGCGGCCCTATATAGATAAAATATTGCTGAGTGCGGTGTAAAACTAAACTCACTCACTCACTATGTTGACAAGACACATGATTGCCCATACTAGATTTGTGTTGATTGTCATTCTTGTATGTCTGTAGGTCAGGTAAACTAGTAGTGCCTTTGGGGTACATTGTCTCCAAGTCATTCAAAATACAGCAGACTCAAGAAGATCTGGTTTAGAACTGATCTTCAGTAACCCATGCTTGTTGTAAGAGGCGACTAAGGTGATTGGGTGGTCAGACTCGCTGGTTTAGTTGACACATGTCCGGGGCGGATACAGCTTTTTGAGAAAGGGGGGTGCACACTATTGAGAAAAGGGAGGGTGCACACTTCATTTTCACCAGAGTTTCAATGGTCATTTAATAAACTTTCAGGACAAGGGGTGTGTGTGTGTGTGTGCACCCCTGCACCCCCCTCTGGATCCGCCTATGATGTAATCGTATCCCAATTGGATAAATCGATGCTCATTCTGTTGATCACTGGTTTGTCTGGTCCAGACTTGATTATTTACACAATGCCGCCATACAGCAGGAATATTTCTGAGTGCGGGGTAAAACTAAACTCACTCACTCACTCACTCTTGGTTTCTATGTTTGTTTGGTTGTTGTTTAATGCCACACTCAGAATTATTCCAGGATTACTGCAGCGGTCTGTAAATAATGGAGTCTGGAGTAACAGTTCTATGTCATGGAAATACGCCTCTCTCACTTACACGCCTTCTTTGTTGTACATTGCTAAATAATAAAAAAAAGCATTAAATGATATACAACATTAAATAATGCACGATGATACATGATACACGTGTATTGTCACATGAACTGTTTACATCATGCTGAATAATGTGTGAATTATCATCAAATTCCTCATAAAACCTACCTCTGTAGTGTTTCAGTCATACGTTTTATTGCCTTGAGAAACAAGTCTGTATAGATTTCAGTGTCTCAATCATCACTCTGGTTTCAAGTCTCTTCCAAGCCCTTTCATGTCGACAATCTAACTGTAATAAAACCTATATAATTTCCTGAGCAATACAACCATTTAAATACCACTGAAGGTTCATGCTACAAGCTATCTGTATTGATATTGCCGTCTGCTTTCTGTAACACTCACAGTAGGGATCTGTGGTGATATCTATTCAACAGAAGATTTGTTGTAAAAGAGCACTGACGTCAGGGAAAAGGAAGAAAATCTTAAATTACTTGGATAAAAAGGGTGCTATGCACGTTTTAATTGAACTGTAACATTGTAGCTATGTTTGTGATAACTTGAGTGTTAATAAAGTTGTTGTGCTCACTAGCTCCAATTGCTGAGATTAGGAGGACGTTTAAGTTTGTGTTTCATTTGAGATAAGAGATACTGACATAGACGGTGGGGGAAAACATTGGTAAGCTGTATTTAGAAGTTTGTGGAGATATAATAGGCAATAAATTAAACATCACACAATTCACACTTGAAGCAATTTAACCATTGAGCATGCTTGGAAGCCATTAAAACCAGGACAGTTATCTGTTTATGGAAAGAAAGAAAAGATATTGTTGGCAACATGCAAAGTGTGATCTGCCTCCATGAACATGGCTGTAATTAGTGTGTTATCTTCTCAACTGACATTTGTTCGGAGTAAATGTTTTTAATGGTCTGGATTTTTCATTATAATGGTTTCTGACATTTTGCTTTATCTTGTGATAAGTTTTTCAACTTGAGAATAGAGTTACCTACCCTTATCAATTGAACCAAAGGATGTTCCGCCAAGAATGAAGTATGGAGTTCTATGTTCTTGTTGTTTGTAGTCAATTCATAAACAAAAGTGATAGAAAAAAACAAATGTATGTCCCACATTTATGTGCCTTCAAAGACACTTTTGTTACATGGTTACTGTTTACAGTTGTTGTTTTTTGCTTACAGAAGTCTCCAAGGTGTTGTTCCAGCTATTTCCAAACTTGTGACGTTACAAGCCGAGGCAGTCATTGAGGCCAAGCAGAACTACGAGTGTCCATACTCAATCAGGTAATGTGCGACTTATAATATGTGCCACTACAATCAGGTACTGATTCCAGGGGTACTACCACTTTGTCAAACATGGTACCATATTTCCTCAAGGGAGTGCAGTGCTCTTCAATACAGAATCAAGATCTTCCTCAAACAGAATACCTCATTGCCTCGTAATTTTATCACTTGATGAAATCTTTCTCTGTTGGTATCAGGTGAGCTTCATCGTCATCACAAATGAAGACACTGAAACTTAATTGCTCGAGTTTTTTTGTCAGATTCACAGTTCAGGTTATTGTCCCCCTCCGCAACATGGAACGTGGGACTATGTATTCAGCAGCATACGTACGTATGTCCCGATTCTTGTTATCACGATATCTCATGAACTGTTGTACACAATGTCTTCTGATTTAGTGACATCCTACATTGGGGATTATGCAGACACCAGTCGATTTTGGTGACATTGACCTTATCTTCAAGGTCACCACGACACTTTGAACACTTTTCAAACTCTTGTTAACACGGTATTTCATGAACTATGGTACCCAATGTCTTCAAATTTGGTGACAGCCTACATTAGGGGATTACGCAGACACCAGTTGATTTTGGTGACCTTGACCTTATCTTCAAGGTCACCACAACACTTTGAACACTTTTCAAACTTATGTAAACACGATTTCTCATAAAACATTGCACCCAATATCCTCAATTATGTCAACAGCCTACATTGGGTGATTATGCAGACACCAGTCATTTCTCGTATGTGACGAAAAAATACAAAGTAGTAAATATGTTATGAATATTTCATTCTTCTTTAGCAGCGGGGGACATTGGCATATTAGTGGCAAACACTTGTTTGATGATAATTACAAACATAATTGCTCATGTTTTTTTCTCAGATTCACAGTTCAGGTCATTTAATGATACAAAGTGTCTATACAATTAGCCATTTGCCATGCCTGATGTCAGACAGTGAGATCAGATCCCCTTGTGCACAGGGAGAGGTACAACAGGCCCCTCCTTACAAACAACAGGTGATGCTTCAACAGTTTCCACAAGTGTAACATCTGTGGAGAAAGCCACAACATGAAGTGAGCTTGAGCACACAATAGATACAACATAATCCGGTTGTGAAAACATCAGGCCTGATATTTAGAGTCACTGATGCTGAAACAAGATCCGTCACCGAAATACCTTAGTTATGTGTGCGACGTTAAATAAATAAAATAATAAATAAATAACTAATGAAACAAGATGTGATGCTGTGGTGTTGATGTTAGGATAGGGAACCTGCCTTTCATGTTAATGTGAGAATATGGACATTTTCAAAGAAATGGTAACTGTCTTTGACTTTGTGTAGTCTGATGCAGAATGATAGCCAATCATTGATTGAAGGCGACATCTGACAAGAAGAAACATGTAGAAAGCGTGCAACACAACTCTCTCTCTCCTTCCACTCACCAGCCTACTCTAAGCATGACCACATCACTTCAAATGTCTAATCTATACAGAGGGAAAAGGTTCCACTTTCATTAAACTGCCTACATGACAAAATCAGTCACGTTTCTCTCCGTCTCAGAGGCTGTTTTGTTGTTTACCATCGATATCTATGATCAAAGCCTTACCCAGACACTCCCACCCCCCAAGGGACAGCTAGTGTCAGACCCATGTGAGACAAGTATCCTACCCACATCCCCTCCCTGTAGGGAGTCCCGCTTACATGTGCTTGTACATAATTCCATGTCTAATGATATAGCTTGTCTCACAGTGGGCCTGCCGTCACTGGGGATGTGTATTGTTCAGATGTATAGTCAGTTCATTACTGATTGCCATACACAGCATCCCTGTAGAGATGTGACGATATTTTTATGTTAGCGACCTGGACTCTGTTATTGTTTCGTTTTGTTTTTGAAATGTATTATGTCCCATTCGGTATATCTGTCTTCCTGTTTTGTCATATTGATGACGCATGTCACGGCTCAAGGTATTTCTCAAGGTTATATATCTAAGACATCGACATTAGGGATTAATCAGTCTCAGTTACCTGCCAAAACAGATTCCATTTGGCATAAAAGGCAAAATGTTTATTTTTACTTATCCTGACTCATGCTCTTTTGCTTGTCTTCTTCTTCTTACGAACATAGTGGAACACTTGTATCTCCCTAATTGAAGCTCCCTTCAATGTAAAATCACTAATTAGTACTCACCACGAGTTGCCTCCCTCTTCCTTAGCGCGGGAAAGGAGGCGCCACCCTCTGTCCTCATGCTTCACTCTCTCCTTCTTCGCCCAGTGAGCAGGATGTGAGAGCGCCTGTGTCTCCCTACACACTATATCCTTTGATTATTCTTAGTTTATTACCTCTTATAGTCTTCTATAGAGGTGTAGCTAGTATCCTTCTACAATTATGTATTGATAATTAATCGTATTTTCTGCTGTTTATTCACGGGACGCCGTGTTTGTTCAGCTAGTTTACATTGATGAAAATCTGTACTATTTGTAGATTACGTTTTTCTGCTGCTGATCCGCATTTAATATGCCCTAGCTGTACTACGCCATGTGCGTTTTCTTCACGTTGCAGTTATTGTATTAATCTGTCTAATTCTGCATTTAATAAATATTATCTTTGCGTCTTGAGACGTGCAGCAGATAGGTCACGCAAACAAGGTTTAGCCATGGCCGATACATCGGAACCCCTAGCCAGTCAGCTGCTGTCGGACGACCCCCTCCCGTCTGGTGTTCCGCTAGAGTTACCCTCGGAGGAGAGGCGTGGGACGCAGTCCGCTGTCTCTGCATCCCCAGAAATCCCGTCGTCGCAGCCAAAGTCTAAGAGGGTTTCGACATCATCTCAACGCAGACTCCATACCCCCAGGGCAGCATCTACCTCCAAGGGGAAATCAACGAAGTCTTGAACCTTCTCAGCCGAGATTGTCCCCGCCGCAGAACTGGGCCTGTATGATGATCAGCCGATCATCATACCCAATCTACGCCACAAGAAACGACCGGTGTCGGCAACAGTGACGTCAGCGCAGATCGCCATGCAGCCTGATGTACCAACGCTGATGTCGGACGATCTTCCTGAGGGCCCCGTCGTTACCAACGCAGAGAGGGCACCAACTACATCTTCACAGACCGTCCCAGACGACCTGATGCGGCAGATCATGAAGATGATGGAGGACCGATACAGACTGGAGAGACAACCAGCCCAGAGCCTGAGCCTTCGCGAAGGCTCCAACGTAGATGACACCCCAGAGGGACCCCCCATCAACGTAGAGGCCACTACGATGCCACCTCCGCGAAGGAAGTCACAGACCACCTCGGCGAAGGACCCAGATGTACAGCCTTCGTGAAGGCCTTCGCGAAGGCCGTCTAGATCGTCATCTACCTCGGACCTTGATGATCAACACGCACGAGGACGCTCGAAGAAAAAGATCATCTCATCCCTGGACTCTGACTAGGACCCTCAGCCTTCGCTAAGGCCTTTGCGAAGGTCAAGTCGTCGCTCCCCAGGACCGGACTCAGATGAAGTTTCGCGAAGGTCTCCGCGAAGGGCACCAGTTACAGGCTCCAAGTCATCTTCATCTAGAAGGCCATCGAGGGATTCTCCAAGAGCTTCGCGAAGCTATCAACGTTCGCCACATAGATCGCCGCGAAGGTCACCATTTAGACACAGCTCGTCAGCTCGTTCACCAAGACGATCTCCTCGCCGTTCTCCACGCCGATCACCTCGTCGTCCACCTCGCCGATCGCCTTGCAGGTCACCACACCGTTCGCCGCATAAGTCTTCACGGAAGTCCCCAGTCAGGTCTCCGGTGTCGTCGTCCTGCACAGAGATAGATCCATACAGGTCACCATCGGAAGAGCATCAACCTCTTATAAGCGATCCCGTTATAGAAGATGATGGAGGCATCATATTCTCAGACGCTGAGATACGCTATTGGATGGTGAATAACCTAGACCTAGCCTCACCGTCTAAGAACGGTAATCCGGCACACACTTACGTGATGAGGGAGGACGATGCAGACAACATCACCCTACCCCCGATCAATCTGATTGCTACGGTCCCACAGAATCTTGACACAGCCTTCCATAAAGCCACTAAAGTCCAAACGCCACACTTACCACAGTTCAACGCTAAGAAGTTTGCAACTCATAATATGGACCCCTTTTTCAAGGCACAAGAGATCGATGACAACTACAAAGTGATCAACGATGTCAAGAATAAGAACTATAAGATTGACGATCGCAAGCTGGTTCAGATCGAAACCATGACAAGGCGAATGTTCTTCGGCCTTAATAGATCTAGAACGATCAATGAGACTCTTATATCCAGATTTCGAGATTCGACATCTGAGGATGACAGAATGGTCTACTCGGCCCTACTTATGCAAAAGAAGGACCAGCAGTTTCTAACGGATCATCTCACATCAGTCTCTGCAGCACTAACCCTGGCTCGTCGTCAAGGCCTACTCACTTCCTGCAGCTGGGGTGAGCAGTTTACAGCTCCACTCTACACAGCCCCGTGGTCTACGCCATCCATCTTCGACGGAGGAATAGACAAAGTCTCTAAGGAAGTCACCAAGGACTCTAGAGAAGTCCTTATGATAAAGTCGATGGACACGCTAGCCAGCGTCATCAGGCAGACTTCACAGAGGTATTCAGGGAAATCTAAATTCACTGGATTACAGAAAGCACGGGATAGGAAGATGGCCAGCTCCAGAGGAAAAGATTCTTTTCGTCGCCCATATGGCAACTACAGAGGAGGATCAGGAAGAGGCAGGGCACCCAGAGGTTCCCGCAACTATAAACGATGAAAGACTTCCACCCCCAGCCGTTCCAGTACAACCGTCACAAGTGGGTGGACGCCTTCAACTGCACTGGGAGAACTGGGGAATGTTACAAGACCCATATGTCTCCAACATTCTTCAACACGGATATCGTATCCAACTACAGGCCACGCCTCCCGCTGACAGTCAACCCTCACAAGTTCGACTTCCAGGCGCAACAACTACCAAAGTTA